GTATAAGGTACAGGTCACATTGTTAATTGGTGGTGGCTTAGGAACATAATGGAAGATGTGCATTAGTTTGCTTTTCGCCTGGTACAATACATTGATGTTTGAATGTGATGGAACAATTGTGGTACCGCAGAGAACTTGTACTTTTTCAAAGTCTCACATATCAACATCATTTTGAGATCTGGACACAACCAGGAAAAGAGCAAATAATGTCCTATGTGTGGTTAGCTCAGTAATCATTCCTGCCACCTTCAATCTGACTTTATCGCTTATATAAAAAGCACAAGTTCTTCTTGACTGGAGCCCGTAGATTGAAAGAGCCTGGGATAATTCTTTGGGGTTTAAAGGTTTCATACAAATCATGACCAAAAGTATGCATTTGATTGACATCATCAGCTATCTCATCACTGAAGACTGCTTTTATCATAATATTAATGAGCTCCGGTTGCCAGTGCAAATAAGCTCATCCTGTAGCTTTAAAATTGACCCTTCTTGGCATTTAACTGCACCTAATGAATTTAGATGGTGCTTGTTTTTTTCCCAGCCATGCTTAATGTTTCATTCAAAACTTGACGGATGGAGTGCTGGATTTGTCAGGAAAAACTGTGAAAGAGCCTTTGGATACTGTGTTATGCCCACTCTACGCCCTTTCACTTTTGTTGCTCTGTTTTTATGTTCTAGGGCATCATCTGAACCAAGTGCACAGAAGGGAGCTGGCGACCTTTTAACAACCCAATTTCCCTTTCAAAATTCCTCCATTTTTCTACACCTCTTATTTCAGGGAGGTACCAGGCAATCATCACAGTATAGCTGGTTAAATCTAAAGCAAAGTAGTATTTAACAAAGTCTTCCAGTGCTACGAGATACAAATGCCAATTAGCAGTCCTGACAGATCAAATAAAGAGCAGCAAAGACTCGCCCACAGATGGCACTGATCATGGCATCTTCAACATTTTCCTGGGTGCTTGATGTACTTTCTCTCCAGCCTTTCCAAATTCAGTTTATAGGCGCACGTCTTATAAGCATTTGAGGTGCCACTGAAGCATTGTGTTTAACCCAGTCCTCCACGGTGGTATTCTCCAAAGATGCAGCTACTAGATGGTACTCTTTATCTCCACACTAATGCCTAAAAACGATCAAGACCAAAGTAAAAACAAAGATTTTGTAATAAATTACTTTGGGATTGTAATTAATTAAATTATATAATGTATGCTATGTAACGACGTGCATACCATTTGCAGATGGATTCCAGTAATTTCTGACTTGATGCTGACGTCTTAACCAGTGCCTCATTACAACTCTTTTGGCATAAAAACCAAAGCCGATTATCAAAGAAGAACTGAACTGCTTCTTTTTTGCCAATGATGGCAAATCAACTCGAAGTACTCCTTCCATTTATAGTAATCTGTAACATCAAAAAAATTAATTAGGTATCCAGTTCTGGCATTAACTGATGACACAGCACAGTCAGTCAAGGGCCATGATTTAGCTTTGTGAAGGCTGCATGTTTGACACGCCTGTGTTAAAGTATAATTTTTAAAAGTTGATTTTTAAACATTTTCTCTAATGTATATCTACACAATTGTTCTAGGTTTGTCATGTTGGGTACCCTTGTTTGTGAGAGAAAGGGCTTTCAAATGATATCCAACTTGACCCATTTCCGATGACAATGTATTATCAAAACATTCCACCAAATGGAGGACCTGGAGCTGGGGGGAGTGTGGAGAGGAGAGAGGGATTGAGTCCCCCCTACCATGCTTCAGAGGGTGACACCATTGAAATTTTGATCCTGTAGGTTTTTATGAATCAAATGACACCTCCCTTACCTTTCTATCATTAACTTGCCCACAGAATTGCACATGCTTCCAGACTATTTACTGACCCAGACATGTGCTCCAACTCTGCCCTGAATTCCACAGGTGAAATCAGTCCCCATGGCCCACTCAGTCCTGTCCCTCTTGTGTGAGGCTGCCAACAAGATGCCCAGTTAGCGACAGCTTGGTCTTGAAGACATGGAACTGGAGTAAGAAATATCTTTCTTTAAAAACAAAAAAGCTAACACAGAAGAGAAACATGGATGTGATCTGAAAAAGTAAAGAGCAGGGAGATTCATAACAAAAACCTTGAGAATAACTTGAAGGGAGAAAACATACAAAACTCCTATTCTTGATTATACAGAGAAGGCAATCAAACAGCTTCCAGGAAGCAGCAGCAGAAAGGAAACATAAGGTTGCTTACTATTTATTTTACAATATAAGAACTGTTCCTTATTTTCTACACAAATGTGGTTTGGCTCCATATTGTCCCACACTCTACACGGAATAATTATTCAGCCTGAAATTTTCATAATTAAAGAATCAATCTTTCAACATTGATCTTATGACCTAATCAATGTATTTTCAAAGAGGAGTGCAGATGTTCAGCCCATCTCAGTATCAGGCCGTTGAAGTTTAAAGGAGTCCTAGGACACCAGTGGCTTTCATGTATAGGCATGAAAATGGTTGGTAGGAGGGCTAGATCATGTGATAAACATAGTTTATTAGCTTTTAAGATTAATACAATAAATAACTTACAAGAAAAGATGAAGAAATTGTTCTAGCTGCATCTCAGACAATTGCCAGAGCTACAGTTCATGGAGTACTAAACAGTCAGTGCCCATGTGAAACATTTTGTAGTTGTTAATTGTACTAAATTGTATTTCAAGAAGGGGTCAGGTCAGATTTTCAGAAGAGCTCAGCTACCATTTAGGCACTTCAGTAAGTGGTCAGTTTTTCAAAAGTTTGCAGCCCCTCCTGCCCCTCGTATTGTTTTCGCGGGAATTTGTTTGGATCTGATTTAAAAATCTGGCCATTTAATTTAGGTGCCTATATGGGAACTGAGCTCATCTGAAAATATAGCCCATCAACACTAAACCAGCCTGTATCTTGCAAAATTCATGAGTCAGATGCGCCATCCAGTATTAAAAGAACACATTTAACCACTAATTTAACCACTCTCAGCTCTACCTGGAGTACTTGCATAGAGCAGAGGCCTCTGACAAACACTCAGCTTTCCACTCTGCTCAAATTATTCAGGGGTAGAAGAGATTCACCAATCAGAGAGTTGACCAGAAGTTAGGAATGGAAGATCTAGGTTTGATGGGATCAGATGAGAGGCAGGCAAATGGAGCACAGCAAGGAAAGAGCAAGGCAGAAATAGGGTAAGATAGCCAAGAAGCAGGAGAGGATGAGCACAGGCAGTTATAAAAAGGAAGGTGAGAGAAATTATGGCATTTGAAGGCAAAATGTGTTGCAGATCCACTTGGCATTACTGGCCTCCCCCATGCAGAACCATCCCTATCAATGCTTTCTGATCACTGTGCAGCCATTTACCAACCCTTGGCCACCAGACTACTGGATTCAGAGGAACAGCCGTGTTAGTCTGTATTCGCAAAAAGAAAAGGAGTACTTGTGGCACCTTAGAGACTAACCAATTTATTTGAGCATGAGCTTTCGTGAGCTACAGCTCACTTCATCAGATGTTTACCGTGGAAACTGCAGCAGACTTTATATACACACAGAGAATATGAAACAATACCTCCTCCCACCCCACTGTCCTGCTGGTAATAGCTTATCTAAAGTGATCAACAGGTGGGCCATTTCCAGCACAAATCCAGGTTTTCTCACCCTCCACCCCCCCCCCCACAAATTCACTCTCCTGCTGGTGCTAGCACTTTGTCACTTTGGATGGGCTAGCACCAGCAGGAGAGTGAATTTGTGGGGGGGGGAGGGTGGAGGGTGAGAAAACCTGGATTTGTGCTGGAAATGGCCCACCTGTTGATCACTTTAGATAAGCTATTACCAGCAGGACAGTGGGGTGGGAGGAGGTATTGTTTCATATTCTCTGTGTGTATATAAAGTCTGCTGCAGTTTCCACGGTAAACATCTGATGAAGTGAGCTGTAGCTCACGAAAGCTCATGCTCAAATAAATTGGTTAGTCTCTAAGGTGCCACAAGTACTCCTTTTCTTTTTGCAGACTACTGGAGGACATGAAGCTGAAGTCACAGTGAGCATGCAATTCAGGTGCAAAAAGGCTTCACAAGGGGATCCAGTGGGGGACAGACCCTCTCAGGGTATAGCTCACTGATGCCCAAAGGCAATGCAACCCCTTCATCGTGAGACTTTAAAATCTACCTTGAAACCCCTGCCAAATTAGAGGCATCGCCCCCCCACTTCCCTTCCCAAGTGAATGAGCCAGGCCTATGCGGGCACTACATTCCAGGCGTGTCAGATGCAAACCATCTGCCCAGCCTTTGACCACCCTGTTCTGAGCGAGGTAGCCTGTGCCCCGTCAGGGCACACTGCCCCCGTCGTGCCCCGCTGCCCCAGGCAGAAGTTAATTGGGGGGTGCAGTCCTCACTGTCCCCAGGGGCCTGCCAGGCCTCTCCTTAGCCTCCCTCCCTGCGTGGGAGTGGGGAATCCCATCCCTCTGCACACTGGAGGGCGGGGGCCCCACATTCGCCCCCGACTTCCTGTGTCTCACTGAGACATCGGCTGCCTCCTTCCTAGAAATGGCCCAGCCTGGGTGGAGTAGCCAGCCCGGCCCCAGGGTGCTGGAGCCCCCCAGCGGGGCGCATACAGCTGAGGAGACGCCCTGCCCCACCCACCTCATCTCTAGTGATCTACTTGCAGCCCCCAGGCAGGTAACGGCCATCACCGTGTGCGCCGCTCAAACCCCTTCCCCTGTCCGCCCTCCCTCTGTACCTCCTGGGCCCCGGGCGGTTCGGAGACCCAGCGGCCAGTGCACGCTGCCCCCGCCCGCGGACTCTGCCCTCCGCAGCCAACAGTGCCGGGTTCGAAGCGCCGGAACCGAAGTGCCTCAGCTCAGGCAGGTGGCCGGGCACTTCCGACTTTCAGCCGGAAGTTGAACTGCCCCTAGAGACGGCGATTGGCTGTTGACTTTTCAGGCTGCGCTGGGATTGGCAGCGAAGCGTCAGCCCTTGCGTGCTGCGTGTCCCGCGCTTCCGGCGTGGGTGGGTGGGGAGTGGCGCTACCAAGATGGCGGTGCAGGCTGTGCACCTAGAGGCGGACGCCTTCCTGGTCTGCCTCAACCACGCGCTGAGCACCGAGAAGGAGGAGGTCATGGGGCTGTGCATCGGGGAGGTACCGGCTGGGCCGCGGGCAGGCGGGCTCCCAGAGCCGGGGCGCTGGGTATGCAGGGGTGCCCCTCCCCCCGGGTGCCTGGCCGCCTCTGCTCCTCATAGGCGAGGGGCTGGGCGTATCCCCCACCCCGGGGATGCCAGCCTTCCCTCCAGTATAGATTAGGGGCTGGGTGCGTCCCCCACCCGCGGGGACAGTTCCAGTGTCTCTGCCTTTGCTCGGGAGAAGGGCAGCCACTGCCATTAGAACTAATGCGCCCTGCTCGGGTGGTGGCCCAACCACACCCCCCTCTCCAGTAGAAAGCTCTGTGTGTGAATGGGGTGCTTGTTAGTAGTACCGTGCCACCCCAAGAAAAGGATCTGTGTATGTGTAAGGAGGTCATGCTGCCCTAGCGTAGGACTCTGAGATTTAGGGAGAAGGGGAGTGGGGATATATACCTCAGGTAAACATTGGCTCTTTATCTATTGAGGGGGTGGGCTGTAATTTATTGGTTGGGGGACAACACGGACTTGTTGGGGGGGATGACCCATCTGATAAGGTGTGTATTTTCTGGGTGCAGCATTGATTAGTGTTTGCTTGAGAGCACCAGCATTAATTGGGGGATGGGGGATGTGCAGAGTCTAGCCAATAAGAGACCATTTCTGTATGTTCCAAGTCAAAGCAGCAGGTGAGTGTCTGGCCTGCAGAAAAGAGCATGGTTTGGGGCACCTGTGTGTTTTGACTTGATAAGTAGGTTTAGTTTTTGAGCAAGTGGGTATTGGATAGGCTTTTCATGCCCTGATTGACCCTAAAAGTGAAATATGCAAAAAAGCATGTAATTAAGTTACATCTTTATACAAAAGTAAACTTGCTAAATTCTGTCTTCATGGGTGAACCTGATCCTCAGGGAATTGAAGAAATAATAGCAATGACCAAAGCTGGCATAGCATAGATATGTTCTGCGTAAGAATTTCTTGCACAGCTCTGGTAATATGTGCCTCACTCTTGCTCCGGAGCCTACATCTGGCTACTCTTCTCTTGGCTGTCTTTTCAGTAGTTAGCCACTTGTGCCAATTCAGCTGTGAGACTGGTGTGACAGATACCCTAAACTCATAGCTTCAAGAATTTTAAATTCATGGTTTCGAAGTGAAAACCTAGAATAAGTAACCCATTGAAAAACCTATCCGTATGTTTTAAGAGATCTAAGATTGAAAGCATGCTTTTTTAATAAAGACATGATTGCAGCACCTTCTTTGAGAAGTTGATTCACTGAGAGAGATGAGTGACGCTTCCTCCCTCATTTATTATTAGGTTGACACCAGCAGAATTGTTCATATTCATTCTGTGATCATCCTGCGACGTTCAGATAAGAGGAAGGATCGAGTCGAGATTTCTCCGGAGCAGCTTTCAGCTGCTTCTACTGAAGCAGAGATATCCTTTTACAGAGACTGTAGCCAGAAAGGGTCATGTTCAGTAGGAAGCTTGTCAACAAGGTTTCTAGACCTCAAACCTGTTTGGTTTTAGTACCACCCTTGATTTACTGTAGTTAATATAAAGATGCCTACCACCTTTTCACATACACTCTGCCTGAGAGGCTGTCCTAGAGCTCTCCACTGCTGCAGTCTCTTTCAACACTTTTTGAACGATGTGATGGAACCATATTGTAATTACCCGTTGTTCTTGATCACTTGGTTTTGTCACAAATATATTCAATGCTACAGTTTTTAATATGGGTAGAGAAGATCATAGAATCATAGGAGATAAGGGTTGGAGGAGACCTCAGGAGGTCATCTGGTCCAACCCCCTGCTCAAAGCAGGACCAATCCCAACTAAATCATCCCAGCCAGGGCTTTGTCAAGCAGGGCCTTAAAAACCTTTAAGGATGGAAATTCCACCACCTCCCTAGGTAACCCATTTCAGTGCTTCACCACCTTCCTAATGAAATAGTTTTTCCTAATAGCCAACCTAGCCCTCACCACTGCAACTTGTTCTGTCATCTGCCACCACTGAGAACAGCCTAGCTCCATCCTCTTTGGAACCCCCCTTCAGGTAGTTGAAGGCTGCTATCAAATGCCCCCTCACTCTTCTCTTCTGCAGACTAAATAAGCCCAGATCCCTCAGCCTCTCCTCATAAATCATGTGTCCCAGCACCCTAATCATTTTTGTTGCCCTCCGCTGGACTCTCTCCAATTTGTCCACATCCTTTCTGTAGTGGGGGGCCCAAAACTGGACACAATGCTCCAGATGAGGCCTCACCAGTGCCAAATAGAGAGGAGAACTAGATAAATTCATGGAGGTTAAGTCCATTAATGGCTGTTAGCCAGGATGGGTAAGGAATGGTGTCCCTAGCCTCTGTTTGTCAGAGGGTGGAGATGGATGGCAGGAGAGAGATCACTTGGTCTTTACCTGTTTGGTTCACTCCCTCTGGGGCACCTGGCATTGGCCACTATCGGCAGACAGGATACTGGGTCAGACCAAAGATCCATCCAGCCCAGTATCTATTGAGGGGGTGTTCTTATGTTCTTAATGTTTAGACTAACACCCAAAGCATTCTAATTAATCCCTGAAGTTTTAGTTTAAGATTGCCTTTGTATTTTGAAGAAAGTTCACCTTTCACTTTTAGAATTGGCAAATGCAGCAAGAAAACTTCATGGAAAAGCCTATTAGGCTTGTGTTTTCAGGTTTGATATATTTGAAAACTCCCCCAGTAGAAAAGCCCTTTTTACGTGTAATCTTTGTAATGGCAAGAGTCCAATTCTTTGGGTAGCTTACTAGCATTTGTTGTCATTTATTTCTATGTACAAATGCACATTGCTTCTGTTCAAGGAAGTGTTACATCTGTGAGGATGAGGTTGTCCATTGGTGACTACGAGGAAGACTGTTCCAGCACACACCATCACCTGTCATTCTTCCCTTTAATATACTAAAATCAAATAATCCCTTGAGGACCATGTTTGGATTCTGCCCCGTGTTATTATTTAACTTGCACAAGGGACATATAGTCTCTTCTGCTCTCTCACTGTTTTGAAAGTACCTTGACTGACACACAGATTGGCTGAGATTACAGGACGTTCCATGAGGGTTGTGGGCTGGTATCATTCTCATCCACACATAACTGTCTGGCCGTCTCATGTGGGTAAGGAGTGTCTCAGCCCAGAGCTTCATATGGATATATGTTTCATTGTGAACAATACCACTTTGTCCAGTTTTTTTTTGTTAAAGTGATACTGTTGAAGTTTTTAATCCCACATTTTTCCCTACCTTCAAATTATCTAAAATAGGAAGTCCTCTGGATTCCTAAGGTAGGCAAAGTCTGTTTATAGGTGTTCTTCAAGACAGGAAGATCAGATCTGCAATCAGAAACACAAGGAACCGAAGGAGATACTCAAAGCTCTTTGGATGTCTTTATTTTTTCTAGTTGTACAGTAGAACATCAGAGTTATGAACGCCTCGGGAATGAAGGTTGTTCGTAACTCTGAAATGTTCATGACTCTGAACAAACGTTTACGGTTCTTTCAAAAGTTTACAATTGAACATTGACTTAATACAGCTTTGAAACAGTACTATGCAGAAGAAATATGCTGCTTTCCCTTTTTTTTAGTAGTTTACGTTTAACATAATACTGTACTGTATTTGCTTTTTTATTTGGGTGGGGAGGGGAGAGTCTCGCTGCTGCCTGATTGCTTACTTCCAGTTCCAAATGAGGGCTGTAGTTGACTGGTCAGTTTGTAACTCTGGTGTTCCTAACTCTAAGGTTCTACGTTCATAGATGTGTATGCTATAACAACAATAGAACAATACTCCTTCAAAAGAGTTGTTGAAATCTGCTTGGGTGTCTGGTCACAGCTTTGATCTGTCTGTATACATGTTATACTCCTGGGGGAATACTGTGCTGCTGCGCGTGTGCATAATTAATCAGCCACACATATTTTTAATTTTTGGCAGAAGCTTTTTTCTGCACAAAAATGTTGCTGCAGTTCCGTCTTTTGCCCACCAGAGGGCTCTGTGGTGATAGAACACAGCAGCAGCTCCTGTCCATCTTGGAAAGAGAAAGGTGCTGCCTTCTTCGCAGCACCTGTCGGGCCAGGTCAGGAAACAGGGGGAGACAAACATCATGGGGTGCTGGAGGGGTGAGACTGGGGCTCATAAGGGCTAGTTGGGAAGGACAGACTGGGGCAGAGGCTGAATGGGAGTGGAGGCACAAGGGGAGAGGGGATGCAGAGCCACATGGTGATGGGGGAGGGGGTGAAGAGCCACATAGGGACAGGGATGGCTTAGTGGGGGCACAGAGACACATGGGGATGGGGGGGGGTGCAGGGACACATAGAGACAGGGAGTGGCTGAATGGAGGCACAGACACATAGGGACAGGGGAGTTGTTGGGAGGGGGCACAGAGACATGGGGAAGAGGGCGGGGGTGCAGGGCCACATGAGGATGTGGGGGAGTGGGTGTCTGAGTGGGGGTGGAGGGACTCGTGGACAGGGTGCAAGGATACATAGGGGTGCAGGAACCCATGGGAACAGGGGCAGATGTGCCTGACTCAATGGGAGAGGCTAGTGGTCAGCCAGAGTCTGCATGGGGTAAGCTCCCTAACAATCCCTCCCCGCCCCCGCAAAAAAACCATGTTTCATACTTTCGCCACCCATACCCAACAACCCTCCAAGTTCACACCCAGGCTCCTTCCCAGCAATTTACTTCCCTCTCCCTCAGCTCCTCCATTACCCCTGACTCCCACAGGCCTTTGCATTGCTTCTGTATAAGTAGGAGCATTGCCAGCAGATCGAAGGACGTGATTGTTCCGCTCTATTCGACATTGGTGAGGCCTCATCTGGAGTACTGTGTTCAGTTTTGGGCCCCACACTACAAGAAGGATGTGAAAAAATTGGAAAGTGTCTGATTAGGGGACTGGAACACGACTTATGAGGAGAGGCTGAGGGAACTGGGATTGTTTAGTCTGCGGAAGAGAAGAATGAGGGGGGATTTGATAGCTGCTTTCAACTACCTGAAAGGGGGTTCCAAAGAGGATGGATCTAGACTGTTGTCAGTGGTAGCAGATGACAGAATGAGGAGTAATCGTCTCAAGTTGCAGTGGGGGAGGTTTAGGTTGGATATTAGGAAAAACTTTTTCACTAGGAGAGTGGTGAAGCACTGGAATGGGTTACCTAGGGAGGTGGTGGAATCTCCTTCCTTTTGAAGTTTTTAAGATCAGGCTTGACAAAGCCCTGACTGGGATGATTTAGTTGGGGATTGGTCCTGCTTTGAGCAGGGGGTTGGACTAGATGACCTCCTGAGGTCCCTTCCAACTCTGATATTCTATGATTCTGAGGGGTGCGGGAATATGGTTCTGTATTGTAGTTTAAATGAATTATTACTCAGAATTCTGTATTAATATGCCTAGTAAGGAATCTATTTGTCAAAAACCATTTCCCGAATCTTTTTTGTTGTCTGTATTGTTATAGACATACTTGCTGACAGGTATTTTGAAATAAATGACCCAAAATAATTGAAACTGGTGTGATTATATTGTGTTATTTTGACAAAATATGCAGAATTGTGCAGAACTTTTAATTTTTAATGTTGCAGCGTTTTTAATTTTTTGGTGCAGAATTCCCCCAGGACTTTTTACTTCATTATTTCATGTTGCATTTTAAAGGATTTTAGCCTTGTTTTGTGTTAGATTGTTACTGGAAACTTTTAAATATTCCTTTAAAGTTGATTTTAGAGTAGCAGCTGTGTTAGTCTGTATCCACAAAAAGAAAAGGAGGACTTGTGGCACCTTAGAGACTAATAAATTTATTTGAGCATAAGCTTTCGTGAGCTACAGCTCACTTCATCGGACGCATTCGGTGGAAAATACAGTTGGGAGATTTATATACACAGAGAACATGAAACAATGGGTGTTACCATACACACTGTAACGAGAGTGCTCAGGTAAGGTGAGCTATTACCAACAGGAGAGCGGGTGACCTTTTGTAGTGATAATCAAGGTGGGCCATTTCCAGCAGTTGACAAGAACATGTGAGGAACAGCGGGGTGGGGGAAATAAAATTGGGGAAATAATTTTAATTTGTGTAATGACCCATCCACTCCCAGTCTTTATTCAAGCCTAAGTTAATTGTATCCAGGTTGCAGAGTAGCAGCCGTGTTAGTCTGTATTCGCAAAAAGAAAAGGAGTGCTTGTGGCACCTTAGAGACTAACAAATTTATTTGAGCATAAGCTTTTATGAACTACAGCTCACTTCATCGGATGCATCTGATAAAGTGAGCTGTAGCTTACAAAAGCTTATACTTAAATAAATTTGTTAGTCTCTAAGGTGCCACCAGTACTCCTTTTCTTTTTTTAATTGTATCCAGTTTGCAAATTAATTCCAATTCAGCAGTCTCTCGTTGGAGTCTGCTTTTGAAGTTTTTTTTTGTTGAAGAATTGCCACTTGTAGGTCTAATCGAGTGACCAAAGAGATTGAAGTGTTTTCCGACTGGTTTTTGAATGTTATAATTCTTGACGTCTGATTTGTGTCCATTTATTCTTTTACGTAGAGACTGTTCAGTTTGGCCAATGTACATGGCAGAAGGGCATTGCTGGCACATGATGGCATATATCACATTTGTAGATGTGCAGGTGAACGAGCCTCTGATAGTGTGGCTGATGGATTAGGCCCTATGATGGTGTTCCCTGAATAGATATGTGGACACAGTTGGCAACGGGCTTTGTTGCAAGGATAGGTTCCTGGGTTAGTGGTTCTGTTGTGTGGTGTGTGGTTGCTGGTGAGTATTTGCTTTAGGTTGGGGGGCTGTCTGTAAGCAAGGACTGGCCTGTCTCCTAAGATCTGTGAGAGTGATGGGTCGTCCTTCAGGATAGGTTGTAGATCCTTGATGATGTGTTGGAGAACTCAGTGATGCAGTGCAGAACACAATGCCATCCACAGCCTCAGAAACAACTCTGACATAATCAAAAAGGCTGACAAAGGAGGTGCTGTCATCATCATGAATAGGTCGGAATATGAACAAGAGGCTGCTAGGCAGCTCTCCAACACCACTTTCTACAAGCCTTTATCCTTTGATCCCACTGAGGGTTACGAAAAGAAACTACAGCATTTGCTCAAGAAACTCCCTGAAAAAGCACAAGAACAAATCTGCACAGACACACCCCTGGAACCCCGACCAGGGGTATTCTATCTGCTTCCCAAATTTCCCTCCCCGCCCCCCCACGCTGTTCCTCAGATGTTCTTGTCAATTTCTGGAAATGGCCTACCTTGATTATCACTACAAAAGGTGTCCCCTGTCCCCCCCCACCCCCGGTGTCCGCTGGTAATAGCTCACCTTACCTGATCACTCTCATTACAGTGTGTATGGTAACACCCATTGTTTCATGTTCTCTGTGTATATAAATCTCCCCACTGTATTTTCCACCGAATGCATCCGGTGAAGTGAGCTGTAGCTCATGAAAGCTTATGCTCAAATAAATTGGTTAGTCTCTAAGGTGCCACAAGTCCTCCTTTTCTTTAAAGTTGGCTGTTTTTTGGACCTGGAGAGGTATTCTTTTAAACCAAAAAAAGCCCCCAAAAATCCATTTGACTAGAATGAAAATAAAAAGCAGTATCTGGAAAGGTGGTAAATCTTTGCCTGGTGCTTCAGGTGACTGGCACAGTCCTTCACTGCTTAGCAGCAGCCTGTTTATTTTGTTTTCATTCACACCTGCAGATGTTCGCACTCAAGCCATGTATCAGATGATGGACCAGGGCTTTGTGGGGCTCATCTTCTCCTGTTTCATTGAGGACAAGAACACAAAGGTAGGCAACTTGCAAATGGAGAGAAACCCTTCATATGCCAGTTTGAAGCTTCAGCTTTGATGCAGAGCTGAAGTCTTATGTTTAACTCTGAATGGTATCTGAAATAAGAGTTCGCTCTGGAGCTGGGTCAGGGGCCTGCTGGAATGTAATCAATGTAAATGCAGCACAGATGTGAATTAATCGCCAGGCTAGTTTGGTCATAAATATATTCAATGCTACAGTTGAATGTGGTTAGAGAAGATGCTCTGGAGGAAGCAAACTTGTGTTTAGCTCCAATTTATAATTGGCAAATGTAGCAAGAAAACTTGATGGGAAATGATAGGTTAATAGGTTTGTGTTTTCAGGGTTGTTGCATTTGAAAATTTCCCCAGTAGAATTCTGCAGCCTGTAGATTGTTTCATAGATCTGCTGGTGTTTGAGCTCTGGGACCAGACAGAATGGTTATGGTGTGCTTGTGTGTGCATCAAAAAAAGGTAACTTACTGCATCACAATAACACATTCCAGTCAGTATAGACTTTTTTTGTCCTGTTTTTCAGGCCTGTTGTGTCTAATTAGTTCAGAGTATTTTGTCAAACATCATTGTCCCCTGTGAGAGGCTAACTGTTGGGATGAACTGGGAATGAAATGTTGCCTTTAACCAGGTTTTCCAGGTTTTTTTTTGGTTTAATCAGATGGTTCTGATTTAAGAGTTTTCACATGATAGTTAATATAGTCTGTAGTGCAGGGATTCTCAAACCGGGGGTCGGGACTCCTCAGAAAGTCATGAGGTTATTACAAGGGGGGTCGTGAGCTGTCAGCCTCCACCCTAAACCCCGCTTTGCCTCCAGCATTTATAATGGTGTTAAATATATACAAAAGTGTTTTTAATTTATAAGGAGGGGTCACACTCAGCGGCTTGCTATGTGAAAGGGGTCACCAGTACAAAAGTTTGAGAACCATTGCTGTAGTGAGTGTCTCAGTATTTGCTTATTAAGAATTTTTCTCTCCTTCTCCCTCACCCAAAAGTGGTACATTTGAACTATCAGGGAAAGTATTATTTGAAAGTTTGGATTTTAGATGAGCTCTCATTGCCCATAGTCTGATGTTTACCTCTGCTGATTCTTTTAGACAGGCCGGATACTCTACACCTGTTTCCAGTCAATTCAGGCTCAGAAGAGCTCAGAGTAAGCACTGTCTGAAAACGTTCTTAACATTCGTCTCTCAGGAGAGAAATGATCAGTCTCTTCTGTCTCCGTTTAATTGTCAGCTTTCCTTGGTTAACTTAAATAAGTAGTACTATTACTGTTTGATCATCTGAACGTAGAACTAAATGTTGTGTTAATCCCAGTAATTATGGATGCCTAAAGGAGGTCTCATTTCCTGCTTGAAAGTGGACAAATTTCTAAAGGGGAATCTAAGCCATAGGAGCCTTAGTGTTCATACACCTATCAGAGGCTGTCGCCAGTGCTGACTTCCTAGCTTCTCTTTTTATTTATCCCCCATTCTTAAAGTGGGGAATGAGTACTATTGCAAACTGCTTCTCGTCTGTCAGTCAGCATGAGCAAGCCTGCCCAGCAGCAAAGTTATGGTGATGTCACTGTTGGGCAAGCCATTACTGCTGTATGGAATATCTGACTGGCTAAAGCAGCAGACCACAAGGGTAGGGGCAGTAACTTGTACATGATCACTGTGCAGGTATGAGAGGATTGAAATTCCTATTCATGTTGTTCCCCATGACACCATTGGCAAAGTGTGCCTGGAATCGGCGGTGGAGCTGCCCAAGATCTTGTGCCAGGAGGAGCAAGATGCATACAGGAGAATTCACAGGTAGGGGGAGTCAGGGTCACTTCCCTCCCACAGCACCAGGGGGTCTAGTTGATGACAGTAGCTTTTAAGGTTAATATACTTGCCCCTCATAGTCCTTTGTCCTGAGCAGAGCACAAGTGTAGAAAGAAATAAAGGGTTAGCTATACCTAGTATCATGAGGGACCTTGAAGCTAGCTCTCAGTCCTAAAGTCCTGCTCTTTACCATATGCGTTTGTATGTCTGGCTAATGACTCCTGCTCCCTGAGGTGCCTCTGCAGGGGCACTAGTTTCAAAAAGTTCTTCCAAAGCTTTCATCTGTAAGCCTGATAAGACTGCAACTCCTTGCTTAGTGGAATGTATCTCAGGCCCCACTCCCAGAGATAGAGAGGCTACAGCTAGCAGCTTTTCTACTGGCATAGAAAAGGGTAAGGAGCCTGCATAGTATGACAGTGATGCTGATACTAAGGCAACTGCATGATCCTCTCATGATCATGGTTATCAAAGTGTGATAGGAGTGAAAATGGCTGATCAGAAGGGAAGGTATGTGAGAAATAAGACCAAATGCTAGTAGGATTACCACCCTCCTGACATAAGCCTCTGTCTGTGGAGTTCAGCATGGAGAATGCATGATACTCATTGTAATACATGGTTTGATGTGGCGTAATCAATGCAGTGGAATTCCCATTAAATAAGGGTGAGTAGTTCCAAAGTGCCTGTGGTTTTAGACTCTTGTAGGTGGCTGTCTTCAGTAATTCAGGTTCACCCCTAATACTCAGTTCATTGCTGTCTTGTCACCAGCTATGTTTTGTTCTTTCTCGTAGCCTCACCCATCTAGACTCTGTAACCAAGATTCACAATGGCTCAGGTAAGGGTTCCTCTTCTGGGAATAAGGATGCTGGACTGAGAGATGAATTATGAGTCATCTTGTGGTCTTGAAAAATGGTCATTTTGGGTCTGTCTATAGAGGTCAGTAGACGACAATGTGTATCACCATGGATTGTAATCATGTGTCCACTTGAAGATGTTCGGCATTGAGCCAGCCTGTGAACAGATTACTTCACCCAAGTTTAGCACTATGTTTTGATCTTGCCAAGTAGTTCATGTCTTGCTCCACAGCTTGGCTGACATTCAAACTTGTCCATTCTTATATTGGGGGCTAGGGAAGTTCAGCAGTGAATCAAATTATTCATTAACATTTCTGGTGTTTGGAAGGGTGGGGGCAACTGACTTCTAAGGTGGGCTAAATCACAAATGGAAGGAACTGGGTGGCCTCCTTCAGTTTATCCATTTGGTTTTAAACCATGATAAAATTTGATTTGGTGTTACAACAGCACAGGGTATTGTAGTATGGATGCATCTTAAAGATTACTCCTGGGGGAATTCATGCTCCCTGCAGATATATTTGCTTCCCCCCAGAAAAATTACTTTTTGACAGGGAACATAAAAAGGCGAAGCAAAGGGAAGCAGCAAGAGCGGTCACGAGCCCCTCTCCAACAGGGCAGGTACATTGTTTCGGGAGCCCGGAGCAGCTGGTGGAGATGTAAATCACTGCCAAGCCCCAGGCCCCGTCCTCTACCCCCCCAACCTTCCACTGAGCCCCAACCACCTGCACCTGGACTTCCCTGCAGAGTCCCATTGCTCTTGTACACGGAGGCCCCCATTGACCCGTTTGCATCCAGATCCTCCCCACATCCGGTCCCCCCACTGAGTTGCCCGCACCCAGATTACCCCACACAGAACCTGATCACCCCACACTAAGCCCCTTCATGACTGAGCCTGCCTACCCACACCTGGTGTGGAGGGGCAGGACCTCAGGATGTTTCTGGGTCAGGCCCGGACTTTGCGCTATGTCAGGGTTGGGTGCAGCCTCACCACTGAGTCCATACCCCTTGGTGGGGGGAAGAGAAAGGGGCTGCAAGGAGATCTCTCACCTCCGTGTAGCCAGTGGTCTGTGCTCCAGGATGGCAATGGGGAGCCTCCACATTTATTTATTGACAAATCTTGCAGAATTTTCAAATACTGGGTGCAGAATTTTAATTTTTTTGGCGCAGAATTCCCTCAGGAGTAATCTTAGAGCTGTATTGGTCCGGAATTGAAATCAAGGTAAAGGGGGCCAATCCATTCTCCTGCGGAACCTGATGCTTCTGCATGTGAGTTACACCAACGTAGGCTTCTGTGTGGTCATACATCACTGAATGGAAGTAAGTCGCATTAGTTCCATAGCATTTAACTCTGATCTCCATAGGATGGAGTGGTGGTCTACCAGAAGAATGGCCAATGCCATGTCTAACTTTCAGTGTAAAATATGTCTTCATTATATAAGATTCTCTTTCCCCTATTGACTGAATAAGGCTACGTTTTAGTCACAGGTATTTGTAGTAAAAGTCATGGACAGGTCACAGGCAGTAAACAAAAATTCATGGCCTGTGACCTGTCCATGATTTGTACTATATACTCCTGACTAAATCTTGGGGAGGGGGTTGGCCTGGGGGGGAAGGGGTTCCTGGGCGGGGGAGCCGCATGTGTCGGGGAGGGAGGCGGCAGCCTGGAAGGGGCCCTGCGGATGCTGCGGGGGCAGGATCCTGCTGGTGCTGGGAGGGTGGTTGACGGGGCTGGCAGGCTCCGTACCCAGCTCCGTGCCTCCCCAGAAGCAGCGACATCCCTCAGCTCTGGCAGAGGTGTGGCCAGGCAGCTCTGCACGCTGCCTCCTCCCCAAGCGCTGCTCCACAGCTCCTACTGGCCGGGAACCACGGCCAATGGGAGCTGCGGGGGTGGTTCCTACAGGCAGAGCCCCTTCCCCTCTAGGAGCCAAGGGGTGTCGCCACTTCCAGGGAGCACCCCTGAAGTAAGCGCCACCGGGAGCCCTCACCCCCTCCTGCATCCCACCCCTGAGCTCCACACCAAAACTCCTGCTGCTGTTGGGGGGAGGTGGGAGGGCCGGTGGCCACTACAGAAGTCACAGAATATGTGGCTTCCATGACCTCCGTGACAAACTCAGCCTTAACTATGAAAAATAATCAGTCTACACTAGGCCTGTTTGTATGTCATTTTTTATTGTATGTCCCCAAAGGGCATCGAAAACTCAGGGTTAAATAGTTTTTATAAGTATTCTCCCCACCTCCCCCTCGGACTGGTAGCTGTTGTTTAACCCTTGTCTGTGAGGATCAGTGATGTCTCATGAAGTACTGTTGTGAAACCTTTCTGCTTACGTTTTGCAATTCTGCAGCCGGGTGAGAGATTCTTCCTCCTGCGCTGACATGTTTTGTGTATTTTCCAGTGTTCACCAAGAATCTCTGCAGCCAAATGTCTGCTATCAGTGGTCCCCTCCTACAGTGGCTGGAGGACAGACTGGAGCAGAACAAACAGCGGGTGCAGGAACTGCAGCGAGAGAAAGAAGAGCTCATGAAAGAACTAGCTGCCCTGGAGTGAAGAGGCAACCCCAGACCCTTTTAAAAAAAAAGTAGTAGTCAATAGGCTTGGACAAGAGTGACGTGGCTGACGTGTGGTCTGTCTTGCCTTTCTCTGAAGATGCTAGTTGTTCCTCATCTCGCTTCATGTGACAGCTCCAAGAACACTTCCACAAGACAACCAAGGGCTCATATCTGTCTCCAACTAGATGGAAAGCCTTGTGCTGCCTGTGTGAAAAGTCCGCTCTCTGAGTGCACAGAGGAGCAATCCAGCACCACCCTAACCAGGGTGATACAGCAGCATGCTCTTGGGAAGAGAGCATAGCTCTAGGAGGGGGATACCTAGTACATTTATTTGGTTCCCTTCTCCCCTGTTATTCAACACAAATCTTTTTCCCTTTTATATATATTGCTGGGAGCCTGGAACCAGAGAATCATGGATGGGGTAACAGCTGCACTTCTACAGTGATCATGACTTCTCTGTTGTAGCAAATAAATGAAGCAACTCACTAGTCATGGTCAGAGAAGGGTGAGGGAGGTGGTGCTATGCCATTGACATTGCCAATTTTGCATCCTTTTGGTAGCTCCAGTTGACAGGTAGTGGCTTGATGTCCAGTAACTTTCTGGATTACTGATTGCCTGCTCTTGCACATGTGCTAGGGTGGGGGTAGATGCGGCCAAGATGAGCGGGGGCTTAAGGTTTATGCCTTCTGTATTTCAAACCAAATAAAGAAACCCAAAGTGAGGGCAGTTTGAGAGTGGAAATGAGTTGGAAGCTGCACCAAACACAGTGCGAGTGCTGCAGTTTGAGTGTTCTGTTTCCTGTTTCCTTCAGGGTCTCTCACTATAGTTGTACACTGGTCACTGAGCTGCTTCCCACTGCTGAACTGGACTGGATGGGTGACATTGTTTTACAGAGAGGAGTATGTGGGGGGAGAGTAGCTGTGACAGATAATGAAAACTTCTTCTTGTGTCCTGAGCTCCATTGCAAAGGTTTGTTTGCAGTAGTTTGCAGTTATTTTCAACTTCAACATTAAATTATCCTTTGCGTTTTCCTCCTTAGTGGGTTTCAAGCAGGGTTTACCATCTGCCACCAGCCACATAAGTATCTACCACTACTGAGGGGGAAGCCTGTATCAAGGGCTCTTGCGTATCCCAGAGTGGAGACCAACTGCATATTTAAAAGCTTTCTGTTTAAACTCCTTGTATTTGTGGTTTTTAAACTGAAACCATTAGCTGCTCAGAAAAAGTGGTATTCACATTTCAAAAAACATAAACTGCACATAATGCTGGGGCCCTCCTGACGCATAAGGTGCTCCAATGCACTCTATAGCAGTGGTTCTCTAAGCCGGTCCGCCGCTTGTTCAGGGAAAGCCCCTGGCGGGCCGGACTGGTTTGTTTACCTGCCGCGTCCGCAGGCTCGGCTGATCGCGGCTCCCACTGGCTGCGGTTCGCTGCTCCAGGCCAATGGGGGCTGCAGGAGGGACAGCCAGCATGTCCCTTGGCCTGCGCTGCTTCCCGCATCCCCCATTGGCCTGGAGCGGCGAACCGCAGCCAGTGGGAGCCGCGATCAGCCGAGCCTGCGGACGCAGCAGGTAAACAAACCGGTCCGGCCCGCCAGGGGCTTTCCCTGAACAAGCGGCGGACCGGCTTTGAGAACCACTGCTCTATAGCATGCCTATGACTTATCTTGCCACTTTGGGCAACCCATTAATTAAACTGTAGTCAGTTTAAAAAAAAACAGGTTAAAGATATTCTTACAATTAAAAGCAACTGCTGTAATTAGTGAGGCTAATGCATTTGAGCAATGCTCTAGTGGCAATAGGCTGAAGCCATATAGGACATATCTATGCTGAGGAAAATTTCTAATCTATTTTAAATTCAGTTCAAATAGTTGACTTTAAAACGTGTTAGAACTACAGCATAGACCCAGTTGAAGACAGCCTGACTTTTTACTTGTGCCAGTTTAATCAAAATGGCCCAGGCCACCTTCTTCTATTTGTACAACGCCTAGTGAAATAGGAATCCATGACTGGAGCTGCTAGGCATTACTGTGCTATAAATAAACTGCCTGCAACAGTCTGCACTGTGGTTCTAACCAGTTTCAATTTTGGCTTAGGTGAATTGGTTTTAGAACTTTCCCCAGCATAGACATACCTCACAATGGTGGGAGCACGGTGGGACTGGAACCACAGTGCTGAGCCACTCAGGTTTAGATATGGCATTGTTTATTTTATAAAGAAAAGTCTGGTCTTGGTGATTTTCTAGCACAGCTTTAGAATCTAATTTTAATGGGGTTTAAGATTCGATGTTTTTCTTTTTCAAAACGACATGATAAAAGCATTGGGTGGTCCTTATAATGTCAGACAATTACTACAGTAACTCCTGTAAAAACAGGATTTAACAGAGAGATCCATTTGCCATCATAGTATCGATCAATAGAAACAATCCTGTGAAAGCTTAAAAGAGCCAAATCATCTTGTGATTGGATAAACACAAGGTTAGTGAGGCATGAAGTCTGTTTTTCAGAAGAACTATACATAGCACTCTGGTATGAAGTAGGAGATGTTTTATTAATATCCTGCTCCATGATCTAGCATTTAGTTTGTATTCACTTGCATGCAAAAAACTTTGATTAGGAATTGTCAGGAATTTACAGCAGCTACTTTGTTGAAAATAATTCCTCATGGATGCGGTTTTGACATGCTGAGTGCCTTGGCATTTCAGGGAGGGAGAATCACAATAAGCATCCTCCAAAAGCTTTCAAGACTTTGCTTAGTCTGTCCTTTGAGCCCAAGAGCCTCCAAAAAAGAGAATGAGTTTGTGCCTGCATGTCTCTAATGGAGGAATTATAAATAAGGCTGCGTGTCTGTCACAGAGGTCACAGATTCCGTGACTTTCTGTGATCTCCAAGACTTCTGGTGCAGCTGGCTCCGGGGCTGCCAGATCAGGCAGCCCTTGGGCCTGCAGCACCAGCCACTGCTGAGGCAGTTTGGGTGTGGGCAGGGGGTTGGGGTGCAGGGTGGTGCTTACTGTGGGGTGTGGGGGCTCCCCGGAAGTGGCTGGCATGTCCCTGTAGCTCATGGTGGGGGCAGCACGGGGAGCCCCTCTGGCCTTCCCTCCCGCTAGGAGCTGTAGGAACACGCAGCGCCTGGTAAGAGCCTGCCAGCCCCACCAACCCCCACAAGCACCAGCAGGAGTCCCAGGCCGTGCGCCATGCCTTCCCCCCCCCCCTTCTTGCCAGCACCAGCGGGGGTCCCGGGCCACCCTGTGGCACCCCCAGAACACCCTCGGCCCAAGTTTTAGTTAGGGGTATATAGTACAAGTCATGAATACATCGTGGGCCGGGAATTTTTGTTTACTGCCTGTGACCTGTCCATGACTTTTACTAAAAATTCCCGTGACTAAAACATAGCTTTAATTATAAATCAAGAGACAGCTTTGTGGGTACTATGTGGTGCGAATGATCTAATTGTGAACCGCCTACTTCCTGTATTTTCAGTTTGGTCTGAGTCAGCAGATGGAGTTTTTTCACTAGCTGGCATTTGGTAGGAGCCATGAATGCTTCAGTCAATGGGACTAGCTTCCTACCTTGTTGAATCCTGACCTGGTTATCTCTGCTATATGCCTACTATGCTACTCCAGTAGTCATGAGTAAACTAATTACTAAGCTATACTATTGGAGTGGGATGCTGAAATGCAGCTTCTGGTAACCTGCCACTAATTTCATGATTGTCCACATGTGCTAGAATTCTTTACGCTTGCATGGCAACTGCTGTGGGAGCATCCCTATTTTTTTTACTCTCCATTATGTCTTGGTTTTACTGGGAGCTTTCATGGTTAGTATTAAGAGTGCCTCATTGGAGGGGTGTGCATTTATTTTATTGATACAAATGCAAGTTCAAGGCCTCCTTTATCTAAAATGTCATTGAATTTAAATTGGTGTTAAAAACAAATTCAAAGGCCCAGATCCTCAAGTGCTGTAAATCAGTGTAGCTCCATTAACTCACCACCTGCTGAGGAAATGGCCCAATGAGTTTGAACAGTCTGAGAGGGAAGAGACTTGTAATCAGTCAGGTTTCCCTCCCTTGCGGATTCTGTCTCCCTTGTAGTAGCCCTCCAGTCATGCTCTTCTAGCCTGGCCCCCATCCGGATTTTTAATATAAGGCTGTGGTGTGGTGTGGTGTTGTTTTATTTTAAAGTGGGTAAACTAACCTGCATACTCCCCAAATGAGACGTAAACTCAGTTTACCCTAGTTTATCCTTGACCGTGCTACTGCTTATAAGGGCTTGTAAATATAGACAGTGCAGCAAGCCGGGTTATAAATCTACCCTGCATCAGCCTGCCACGCACTGACTGTGCCTGTGCCCCTGCTGCTGTGCATTAGGAGTTCCCTTCCACACTTCGATCTACCCCGCTTAGAGATAGGAGTAGGACAGTGTACACGAGGGGACCTTTTAGTGTGCAGTAGTGGGATCCACACAGACAGTTAGTGTGTGGCAGATTTGCACCTCACTGTTCATCTAGACAAACCCCTAATGAACAAGCACAGCTCCCCACCTTTCAGGGCTTCATACAGTAGGAAGAAGCACTTTTTAAAAATTAGTTTGCAGTAATCTTGAAGCCCCACCTCAGCCCGAGCTCTTAGGTAGTGTGACAGGGTCGGGCCACATGGCTATAGGAGAGTAATAAAAGGCAGATATATTAGCCCCAGGCTAAGTAGGTCCCTTTTCCCTGGGTAAGTTAACAGGGAAGGTTCCAGAACAATCAGGAACCTTCTGGAGACAATTAAGACAGGCTGATAAGAACACCTGCAGCCAAGCAAGAAGCTGCTAGAATCAATTAAGGCAGGCTAATCAGGGCATCTGGGTTTTAAAAAGGAGCTCACTTCAATTTGTGGTGTGCGTGTGAGGAGCTGGGAGCAAGAGGCACTAGGAGCTGAGAGTGAGAACGTGGACTGTTGGAGGACTGAGGGGTACAAGCATCATCAGATACCAGAAGGAAGGTCCTATGGTGAGGATAAAGAAGGTGTTGGGAGGAGGCCATGGGGAAGTAGCCCAGGGAGTTGTAGCTGTCGCACAGCTGTTCCAGGAGACACTCTAAACAGCTGCATTCCACAGGGCCCTGGGCTGGAACCCGGAGTAGAGGGAGGGCCCGGGTTCCCCCCAAACCTCCCAACTCCTGGTCAGACACAGGAGGAGTTGCCCTGGACTGTGGGCTCATGAAAATGGCCAAACTGAGGGCTGCTGTGAAGCTCCAAGGCGAGCATATCCACCAACATGCGCAAGACCCACCAAGGTAGAGCAGGAACTTTGTCACAGTAGATATCAGGAAACCCACTTTCTAGGTGGGCAGCAGGAGAGAATGTCTTGCTCTGGCCCTCACTTGCTGTGGGGAAAAGAATTTTTCCCCACAGCAAGTGAGGGCCAGAGCAAGACATTCCTGTCCTGACATACAACTGACCTGACATACAACATACAGAGCAAGACATACAACTGTCCTGACTCCAGTCTTCTGCTGTGAGCAGTAGCCCATAGGCATGTCCTTCTTGTCCAGTACTTGAAGGCTAATGGGTTGTTTGTAGCCAGATCTGGTGTATGTTAGGTTGCTTGTTTCTACATCTGTTTATCTGCTGGCACCCACCCAAGAATAGAATGAGCCTGGCCTGGTGCTGCTGAGTTCCAGTGATGATCACCCTTGGGGTGCATTGCTGGAGGAACATGGGAACAAAAGGTGCCCTCTCACTTTGCCTGGAGACTATCATTTGACTTGGAGGCCGCTGTGGCGATGACATTATATAAAGGAAGGGGGCCATTTCTCCTTCTGAAAGGAGTGTGATTTTTATAATGGCTGGGCAGAGCACTAGCTGTATTCCTGAACCATGAAATTTCTTGAGTTGGTGGAAGATATTTCTGACATTTTATCATCAGAAAATAATAATTCAATGGAATTGACACATTCACAGGAGTGTGTCTAGTCCATCAGACCTGGCAATTGAAAGCATGCTGGCAGGCTTGCTGGCTCCCCAGCCAACGTGGGCAGTGGGTTCTGCAGGCTCTTT